AGAAATACTAGAATTGGCTATTTTCGGTTATGGATTTATGATTCATGGCTGGAAAAGGCCTTATCGGTGCATGACTAGCCAGATCCTACTAGTCGTGCACCATTACAACGATTGACGCCGGCAGTGGTGAGTCACAGCCAATGGTGGTCTTGGGTGGCTGGGGGTATTTTGTTAACTTTTAAACTTTCTTGTGGCTGAGGTGTTTTAACTAATTTCTCAAATGTAGGGGGGTTGGGTAATTGTTATTTGGTAGACGTTTGAGGGCAATTATGTCCGAAATGGTTTTTAATTAAGGAAAAAATGGGTAGAAAAATTAGATTATCCCGGTAATGTTTTAATAACACCCCCTAACAAGGTAATCAGATTACCGCCCACATTACCAATAGTAAATACTATAGGCCAGTTTGGATGGGATTAATATCAGATAACTAGGGTAATATTTTTAAATTGAGCAGCTGACGATGTTTAGTTGGTTTGTAAAAAATTATTCCTATAATATTTTATAACAAACAGTAGCATTTGGGGGTATATTGCTAGGAATCTTAATACCTTGGCGGAGGGGGAGAGGAGTTGTTATTAAAACTTACCCTTGGTAATACAATTTTGTTTCCATGTTGCCCCTAAACAGTTGAGCATTTGGTCCAAATTAACCTCATATTTGTTAACATTTACAAAACACCAAATTCACTCATGCAGACACTTTTATCCTTGTTTTTTAAGTTTTTTTGGATGACATTACCCTTGTTAATGTCATTATTTACAAAAATATCATTAACCCAAAACTAGCCACCACCGCCACCCACCATCGACTGTCGCCAAAGGCTGCCAAAAGTCATCACAATGGCGTACAACCGGCCATATATGGCCGGTCATGCGCCAGTGAGGCTATTTCCAACCGTGGATCGCAAATCCATGGTTAGAAAATGCCAAATCTGGCTATTTCACGGCCAAAGACCTAACTATTTCATAGCCAGGTCTGTGGCCGTTTCACGGCCAGATCTGTGGCACTGCTAATAGCCGCCAGCGGTGGTGGTTGGCTGCCGGCAGTGACTTGGGGTGGGTAGAGGTGTTTTTGTTAAGTTTAAAATGTTTTTGGTTGCCAGGGTGTTTTTACTAAATCTGAAAAGTAGGGGATTAAAAGAAATTATTCAAAAAATAATAATAAAAAATTATTGTTATATTAATATTTAAAAAGGAGTGCAATTTAGTAATCTATATAACATACCCACCCATTTATCCTCCCAACCAAACATATTATTCACTAATTTATTCAATCCAACCAAACAAATTTTCTAAACATTTCTAGTAATCTTCAAGGTGATCTTTTATTCCGTTAATATAATATCCCCCTATAATAAAACATTATATGATCCAAACGCCCCTTATTTGCAATAAAAGATTCCCGTAATATTTTATTACTTGTAAACCAAACACTGGAATTTTACAAAATAAACGAAGATTACCCCTGTTATCTTATATACTCCCAATCCAAACGCCCCCACATAGTATTAATAAAATCATTCTCTAATGTGAATGCTATAAATCTCAAGACATTCCTGCTTAATAATATTCATATATATTATATATTAGTTGTAAACTCAAAAAATATTTGAAATATAACAAAGTAAAATATATTTATTTTTCCTACAATTTTAATCAATTTTTAATGCATATATAGTATTCTCTTAATAATAAAAATGCTTAGTTATAAGATTAAACATATGAAGGCCTAAATTAAAAAGTTTTGCTTAAGTCCCACGACCACCACGATCACCTTGAATTTCATAAAATACCTCAAGGATTGTCATGTAATATGCTCTAAATTAAATGTTTTCGTGTGTAACGAAAGGAATGTGATTTAATTTGTAATGGTAGTAGATTGTAACATTAGGTGTGTAAGTTGGCTCTGTTCACATTCACATAAACCTATCACATTAATTTCAATAACACTTTATAAACAACTATATTATCTTCAAACGACAATACTTGAAATATAATTATATAAACATAGCTACGCAACATATAGTATCACATCAATTTCAATAACACATCGTAAACAACACTATATTATCGACAAACAACAATACTTGAAATACAATTCTATAAACATACTCACGTAATGTGTGGGTTTAGGCAGATGAATAAAGCTGTGAAGGCCTTAGGTTTGTGAATGAATTTTGAATAATGTGTCTTTTCTTGATTTATACTTATGGACTTTCAGGTGCTAGGACATTGTATCAGATTGGAGGTGGTTTCTCCAAATTTGTCACACTAAACTCTTGTCCTCAATGCCCTAGCTACAACCATACTCATTTGTCCAAGCAGGTCTCATACGCAAGTTGGCACTACCCATGATAATTTGGAGTTTAATGAATACCAACAGACTACCACGCGTCCTGAGAAGACTCTGACAAATTATCCCCATAACAATTATAATTGTCATCAATGACAATGCAAGAAGTCAAATCATCGAGGAACAACTACAATAGCTCGAAAAGGGTCAGCAATTTTCAATTTTGTTTCACTTTATTTTTTTATTCTTTTAACTAACTTGAAGACTAAATACCATTAGATAATGGTTAATAAAAGAGGTATTAGAGACTTGTGTCAAATGTGAGGGAAGCTCTTGGGCTTTCAAGAAAGGTTTAGATCTTGTTGAGATTTCTCAAAACCTGAAGGAGGTTCCTTACAATTCAACCACACAATCTTTGGCTCTTTGCTTTGTCCAGATTATTTTGTTTAATTTTTTTTTTTTTTTTCTCATATTATACACTATAAGCTGTTTTATTCTCTTGGTCACATCAATATCAAATACAAATGGGTGATGATTAATTAAAACTTTAAAGATGTTTTTGACAATTTTAAAGAGGTTTAACGAAATTTGCAACCCAGTAGAAGTTACCTATATTTTAGTCAAATCTCAAAAGTTCAATTAAAGTTTGAAAATTAAAGGTTATATGTTTGGTCATTACTTGTACAAATATAATCATAATGATCATGAATATCTTTTGAAGTTGAACTTATTATTCATTTATTGTAAAAAGAATAAAATTCCAACCCTAATTTATGCTAAAACTATAAGTCAAATTTAATAGTCAGAAAATTCCAACTCTAATTGATGCGAAACAAAATTGCCTTCCCTTTTTCTGTATATTTTGTTTTTTATTTATCTTTCGGCGCAGCAATTCACCAAGTCAAAATTCAAGAAAAAAATGTAATAAAAAGTAAACATGAAAGCATTTTTGTTAACCAAATATTGAATATGCAAAATGCATTGAAATTCCAATATGGATTCTTCCTTTCCCACCTCCTACACTTTCCCAATTAAAGCTTACAAATTTGTCAAAAGGAATGTACGCCTTTTTTTTTTTTTTTTTTTTTTTTTTTTTAATACCCTAATTTATTGGGCTTCTATGTTTATTAATTAATTAATTAATTAGAAGTAAATTTTCTTTCAATCGCTCCACCCCATTAAAATATCTACTGACAGCTTTAATTAAGCAATGTGGCTTTTATTGTATTTAATATGAAACATAATTTGAACGAAGTTCCAGTTGAAAATGTTTGAATATGAAAAGGATGCACATGCAAAGCCGATCGAGGAGGGACAAAACTTAAGTCACAATCTGAGATAGTTTTTTGTTTCCATACTGTGTTTACTCAAAATTTTAATAAGATGTAAGATTTTAGTTTATATTATATAAAGTTTGATGAAATATATTATATATTCATTAAAGTCTAATGTACTAAAAGATAAATTTCTTTATGTTGATTGAATATTAACCTTAATCAGCTGCTAGTAATTATTGGTATTATTTATTATTTCTATTTTCACTCTCTTTCTATTGTAATCACAGAAAACATGTTCGTTAAAGATTTTTTTTTTTTTTTTTTTTTTAATGATTGGGGTTTGAGAATATTCAGACCAGTTTACGCGTACCTCAACTAATCCACCAGACCAAAAAAAATTGTATTCTCCATTTCTCTTTTTATAGTCAACAAGTAAAACCAGGCAAAAAGGCATAGATCCTTTCATCTCAAAAGCGTAGTTATGTTTATTTAAAGAAGGGTAGGTTTGCAAAGCATCCAATAACTTTCATGAATCAAAATAACAATCTAAAGGGTACATAATAATGGATTTTATACCTCAAAAAATGGAATAATCTTTACTATCTCATCTAGCAAAATGACATTTAATTTAACATTAAAATTCATGTTATATTCTACTTCTTTTCCTAATAATCTTTTTACAAAATACGAAGACTCACCTATAACTATATATCCACTAATGAAGACACTCAGAAAAATAAATACAAATGTACAGGCATTTTGTATTCTCATGTAGACGAAAGGTTACGACTAATCGTTAACTTAATAAAATAAGAAATCAGAGTTAATAATTTGTTGTTTCAAGAACTTGGATTTCGAGCCAATGGCAAAAGGAATGATAATGGAAGAAAAGCTGGTCCACTATCACCTGAAGATGACCATTCGAGAACAAAGCTAAGTCATCAAGTTCCATGTGCAACATGCATGCACATAATAAATTTACCCATTTGTTCTATCATCTTTTAGCGACTCTTTTTGTCTGCCATTTTCATATAAAACTAACCATTTTTGCCATAATGTAAGGAGATGAGGGCCCTTCTCTCAATGACCAAATTGAACGTGACAACACATTGATTCGACAGAGATTTTGACAAATCTCTCAATCTATGACGGCCAACCAATTAGAATAATATAAAATAAAAATACAATAACAAAAATCAACCCACTCATGTCATAACTATTCCAAACATTCCTATCAACAATATGACCCAATTACTAATCAAATCACATTCAACTATAACGCCAATAATATTATTAAAGTTTTATTATCTTGGGAAATTTTTTAATTCAATCAATGCAAAAACAAAATCATTATCAAATCCAATCAAACCACCCTTCTTTTCCTTTACAATCCAAAAAATAAATAAATAAATAAAAAATATCCTTTATACTCATATCTCGTCGACCCAGATCAGGATTCTATTCAAATCTAAACTTTAAATCTTAATTAAGAGATAAGTTAAAAGATCGAAAGAAGATTTTCGCTTGCTGAATCATTTATAGTAGATTATTATAACTGTGTTTTTATTGATTTTGAACATGAATAATAAAGAGATATTGAGGAGAAAATGAACTTTAACAGTTGAACTTTCATTTCAACATAGAGGAGCTCTGTGAGGGATGCCTTTTCTCTTGTGCAATTGCTTCCTTGGCTTCAATGTTGAATTTCTCCATGCGGCTTGACTCACATCAGATGGATCAGTAAAAGAAAGAGATGATTCTTTACCACTTGAACTATTCTCTGAATTATAGTTGTTCTTCCATGAAAGATCATTGCATTCCTGAATTGGGAATGTCATAATTTTATGGCTTTGATCTTTCGGCTTCACTGAAACCACATATACCTGAAAACATCAATCATAGAATTAGCAAGAATATGGAAATTCAAATACCAAAATGAAGTTCAAGAAATTATTGAAATTCATGTTTAATTAATTAAAAACCTTGCAGGCGATTGAACAAAAACGATTCGGCAAGTCTTGAATATATCTCCCACAAGCTTCACAAGAGGCACCCGTCTTCGATTTCGTAGAGGGCTTTGCATCTTTCAGTTGAGGCCGAGGACTCAAGTGAACCGCCTTTTCACCATTTATTTTATAGGTCTGCAAAACCAAATTCAATCAAATTATACAAGGCTGTACTCAAATTGCGTGATTCGACGATTAAACGAGCGAAATCAACCTGAATTTTGGCGCAGTCAAGGTGTTTCTGCATATCTTGAAGGCGAACAACATCCTGATAAACATATTTACAGATCTGGAGGCGGCGGTGGAGGCAGTGAGCCGATTCACAGTGCCGGCAAAAATCAAGATTACAATCGATACAAAACACGTTCTTTTCATTCTTTCTCAGTTGCTGATGTTCAATACAAGAACTGAAGAACTCGCAATGCAGAAGCGTGCTCAGCCAATCGCCGCCTCCCGTCTTCTTCTTCTTTATTATCAACTTGCATCCCACCTGCACGACAACAACAAAAATGTTCAAAATTCAATAAGTTGGCGTAAAACTGAATCAAATTATGCAAAAAAAAGGAAAATTTATTACCATTTTTAAGATATTTGAAGGGTTTGGATTGTGGTGAGGAAGAAGAAGATGAAGGGATTACAAAAGGGTTTGTTTGTGAATTGGAGAAGACGAAAGGAGAGAAAGATTATGGAAAGAATGAGATTAGGAATGTGAAATAAAAATTATTTGTATAAAAATAGGAATCAAATTGGAAAGAAAAATTTTGTTTATTTTAATTGAAAGACTGACTGTACTGGCAATTTATGACTTATGAGAGAAAGCTAAGTGTCCTACTGTAGGCGGGAACATAATTATATATATATTATCATGGTTTTATTATTTAATTATAATTATAATATCAAATGATCATTAAAAACTTCATTCTGAGCCTAAGAAAATACTATTATTAAAATTACGATTTTTTATTTTTTATTAATTATGTTTGTGAGTGGTAATTGTTTTTCAATTTTTAAAATAAATGTGCTCTACATATATTGAAGAATGTCCATATGATAACAATAATTATAAATTATTTATATATACTTTTGGTCTTTTATGTGAACTTTAATTGTATGTTATATTTGGCATCTAATTTTGCTTTTAATTTGGTAAGTGAATAAAACACTTGAAATAGTAAATTCCAAAATTTCTCAAATTTTATTATTAATTTGACAAACTATAATATTTTGGCATATTTAAGTTGACCAATTGAAATTCTGGGTTTTATAGGCAAGTCATAATTTTCTTTGAGTATACCCAAAATCAAGGTGTTTAAATTTATTGTAAAACTAATTAAAAATTTCCTATATTTACTCCTAATTTTCTTTCATTTAATTATGAAAAAAAAAAAATCTAAGATTTGACAAGAAAAAATCTAGAAATGATATATATATATCCTGCCTTTTCAAAACTCTTAAAATTCGATAAGTAGGTAATTATCTCTTGAAAAATAAAATAATTGTATTTAATACAAGGCTTTTGACATTCATAAGATGATGAGAAAAATAATTGTATATTATGAGACTCATTGACAAATGTGAATTTTCTTTTCTCTTTTAAGATCATATTTATCACCCTATTTTACAATCACCCAAACTCTCATGTGAAATATATTCTCAAATTACTAGCATTCAATATTAACATTACCTTATATTATTTATTTGTTACTTTCTAGCCTTAACATTAGAGCTTATTTAAAAACTTGAAAATTTTGGGTAACTGGTTTATTAACATTGTATGGAAGTTATAAGATTTCAAATTCAAATATTTTACGTTACAATTACTTGTTGATTTCTCGATTTTAGTGATGAATTTTGTCACATATTAGGCTCCTTTGTTTGTCTCATTCAGTTTTCTTTAAGCAAGTCATTCATCATCAACTGTCACTCAATTTTTCACTTTCGGTAAATTTATCTTCTGGATGTCTGTCTCAATCACACCTCACATGAGTATGTCATCAATTTGAACATGTTAGACTTGAATGCAGTGTTTTAAAACTCAGTCCGAGCCGATCAGTTCAATCGATCGAATAGGGAACCAAAGGCTAGGTCAGGTCTTAAAGAGCTAAAAACCGGTTTTGGCAGTTCACCCGATATGACTTACGGTTGGATCAATGTTACTGTGGCTAACCACTAGTCCAACTGGTGTTGTGCCTAAACTGGGTCACCAAAATCCTTAATCTAATGGCTTCCTTCCTAATTTCGATGCTGAAAATCACCCCGACCCCTCAATTTGCCTCACCGGCATCTCCCCACCAAAATCCCTAACACCTCTAACCTTGGTTGCTTATCAATTGTTGTCAACTACCCCCTAGGGTTTTGCGATCTTTGCTTTTTTCTAGTCGTTCCCAACATCGAAAATCACCCCCGACCCCTTCCTTTGCCTCACCGACATCTCCCCACCAAAACCCTTGTTAAACGCTAAATATGCCTTTTGGGGTGGGGGGGGTGGTGTTGAAGTTGTTGAATAAGAATCAATAAAAATATTCGCAAAATAAAACTTATCAATACAAGTAAAACCAAATGATGAGTTTATCAAAAAAATGTTCAATAAATAAACTCAACAACCAAATAATGATAGAGTTAATGTTAATGCAAATGAGCAATAAATATGAACAATGAATGAACAAGTGTAACAAATGATGTTCAACCAACAACAATGTAAGGAATAATAAAAGAGTTTAGAGAGAGAAATGCTCAGAGATTTATAGTGGTTCGGAGCTATATCCACAAGCCTCATACATCCACTTCAAATTTTTCAAGGCAACCTCCTTGAAGTTCCACTAGAATCGGATTTCGCCAATGCAATAGTTTTCACAAGGATTTTCGCCTCACACACTTAGATTTATAGGATTAAACCTAGTTTTACATGGATTTCACCACTAAAGAATTATTCAAAGTGTTTTGTGAATGATTGTCACTTCAATGTAGACTTATACACACAATAAGAACAAGTTAACTCTCAAAGGTTTACAAAATGAGTACAAGTCAGAGTATATGATTTGGATCTTGAGCTTTAGGGATTATATGAGAATGGTTTCTAATTTAGTTTGTCTCTTCTCTATCATAATACCCAAAAACGTTGAGCTTTTATAACCCTAAAAAGATTAGCTGTTGCAACATTCAATGCAGTTCTGATAAAGTTTACAAAACCCAGAGGAACAGTCGTTCCATAATCGCGAATGGTCATTCCTGACACAACAGTCATATTTTCTCAGATCTAGGTTAACTGGAATGGTTGTTCCGCCACGCCATATGATCATGCGGAGACAACGCACAATCATTCCTCCACGCAGAACGATCACATCCAAATGCTCTTCCAAATCCACTTAATTTTCTAAAAGTGTGAACAACTTCTTGGAACGATGTTGTGCAAAACTCTTCAGATACAAACGGTTATTCCACCACAAGGAATGGTCATTCCAATTTTGAACTTTGAGTTCTAACTTTGACCTTTGAAATGAAGTTAAGAGCGTGAAGGATTCTGAATTTGAATTATCTTGATTATTTTACTTGAGCGAACAATCGTGCAGGATGGTCATGCGAGTGTCACCTATTTTGAATGATGAACAACTATGATGAACGATGTCAAGCGAAACTACAAGTTCATCTGGGCAACTTTCTTCTATGGAATGGTTGTGCTTGTGCACGATTGTACCATTGCAGAAATTTGCTTATACACAGTCATACCACCTGATAAACCTATTTTGGTTTGGTTATGACTTGTGTCATACCTTAGCATGTTATGGTTAGTGTTCAATCAACTTTTTGGATAGTTTTGACACATCAAAACACATGAGAGGTCAACAACCGCTAACACCCTTGACCTTGGTTGTTTGTCGATCATCGTTTGCCATCCATTAGGGTTTTCCGATCATTGCTTCTTTCTGGTCATTCCCAGCACCAAAAATCACCCTAGCCCCTCCATTTGTCTCACCGACATATCCCCACCAAAACCTCTATTATCCCCAAGTTCGATTGGTCGTCGATCGGCATCATTGCCACATGTCTGCTTCGCAGTTTCCTACCCAGATCGCAGGCATGTGTTTACTGGATTTCAAACCTATATGGACTGATGCATAATTTCTTCGGTGTGTGTTTGCCGGATTCCAAAGTTGCTTGATATGACGATCAAACCACCGATCCAACTGGTTTAACCGGTTAACCTAAGAGCCGGTCACATGACCGGGTCATTGACCAGGTTGGTTTTTAAAACATTGCTTGAATGTTAACGTAAGTCTTTGCCTAACAACTTAAAATTTTAAGTAAAATGGTCATTAACAACTACAAATTATGAAATTAATGTAAGATATATAATGTTACTAAAAAAGGGATAATGTGAAGGCATAGTGTATATGATATTTACAAATTGACTAGTAGTAAATAGTAGAGCATATGTATTCAAAATCTAAATCATTGTACTAAGGAAGATATATGATATGAGTGTTGACAAATATTTGATTTGATTCAAAACAATTAATCATGGACTAAATATGGATACCACACAACTTTAATCCTAAAGTTAAACAAATTCAATTATTAAGTTGTAATGTCTCCAATTAATATGCGTGAAAATTTATGTAAATAATGCGTGATGTAGACTTGTGATTTATGCAAAATCATCTTCAAAATTAGTGTGCAATGTACACATTTAACACATCTTTAACGAATTAATTCTATGTCCTTTGAGTCTAGAAATATAAAGGTTAATTACAAATATTTTCTATATGGGAAACGTAGAAACTATCCTATAATTTTGTAATTTATCACTTAAAATATAATTATTCATTGAAGTTTCATAATTCATCATTTAGATTGTAAATATTATTATTTTCATCTAATAGGGTTTGAGATATGATTAGTTTATATGAGAAACATATACCTCACCAAGAACAAAAGACATAAATTAATTAACAAAATTCTTCATTCATAACCACAATCTAGATTTAAGCTATTATATAGCCTTATACTTGACTCCAATTGACTTCTAAAAGGACTCTAATTTCTATTCTAATTGTATAATAAAGTAATTATAATTCATATTCTAAAAGATATCCTAATTGTCTAATTCTACGTAACGCACCCTTTTCGGACATCTCCCCATTCATACCAGAATCAGGTTCCTAACATCATCATAAACTATTCTCATAGTTTCGTAATCCATACTTGGATATATAACTATCCCTATAAGCTTATTTTGTTAATTGCCATTAAAACGAAGAAGATTTATTTAAATGTTTAATGTTAGCTTTGTTTTATATTAAAGTGACAATATTATGAAACGGTCCTTTATAACCCATAACTCTGTATTTCATAATTTTATACCACTTCAATATAAAACAAATCCATCACTTGGTTGGGCATCCAAAAGCATATTTTCATGTTTTAGTGAATATTCCTCAAAGTCGTGCCTATGAAAAACTCTTAAAATAAGGATACTATAGTAATTCTAATAAAAAATAAATTATGATTTTTAAAAACAAGTAATGGAGTAAGCTTATAGGGATAGTTTGCTATGGAGATGTGATTAGTTATACTCTTATTAGTGAACTATGAAAATAGAGGGGGAGGCCGGAGGGGTAGCTTTTGATGAAAATATAAGGGTGTGTTTGGTTCAGGGAATGTTGTATTACTGGAAAGATAGATTACTAGGGAATTTTTAGAAAAATGTGTTTGGTTGGTTGGAATAAATTGTTGTATATGTTATAATAATATGTTTGGTTGGAAGGATAAATGAATGGATATGTTATATAGATTACTAAATTGCCCTCCTTTTTAAATAATAATATAATATTATTTTTATTACTATTTTATTCTATTATTTTTTAAATTATTTCTTTTAACCCGCTATATTTGAAATTTTGCTAAAACACTCCAACCATATAAAACTTTAATTTGTAACAAAATCACCCCCACCCACCCCAAACTAGTGCCGGCTACTGGCAGCCGTCGAAATGGCACATGACCGGCCGGATCTGGCTAGTCGTGCGCTGGTAAGGCCTAAACGGCTAGATCTGGCCGTGAATATGGTCGTTTCATGGCCAAAGATGTGGTCGTGAAACGGCCACAGATTTGACCGTGAAACAACAGCCATTTCACGACCAGATCTATGGCGTTTCACGACCACATCTTTGGCCGTGAAACTGCCAGATCTAGTCGTTTTCGGCCATGGATCACAAATCCATGGCCGAAAATGTCTTTACCGGCACACGACTGGTAAGATCCCGTCAATCTTGCCCCGATATGATGACTTTCGTCCACGGCCAACGATGGTGACTAGCAGCTGGCGGTGGTCTTGGGAGGCTGTGGGTATTTTTTTAACTTTTAAATTTTTTTTGTGGTTGAGGTGTTTTATCTATATTTTCAAATGTAGGGGCTTTGGGTAGTTGTTATTTGATAGACATATGAGGGCAAATGTGTCTAAAACGATAAAAGATTAAGGGCAAAATAGAGTCAAAATTAAGATTACCTCGGTAATCTTACATTAACACCCCTTGGGAAGGTAATCTGATTACCCCCAATCTTATCAACAGTAAAAACTATTTGCAATAAAAGACTACGTAATATTTTATTACTTGACAACCAAACGAGGGAATCTTGAAAATTAAACAAAGATTACAAGACTATTCTTGTATCACCCCGAACCAAACACAACCTAAGCACGTAGTTGTATTTTAGAGTTAATTACACAAACTTCCCTAAGGTTTCAACATTTCATAGACGCATAGAAAAGATCATTAAGTTAACACAAACATCCTATTCCTTTAACTTCCGTTAGACTAATTTTATTGCACCCCTTCAACATAAAATACTGACAAGTTGTCCTCTATAATTAGCCCCATCAATTGTTGGGGTTAGAGTTTTGTGACTGAAATGTTGAAACCTCAAGGGAAGTCTTTGTAACTAACTCTTATATTTTATTTATTTAGGGGTGGACGGGTTCGGGTACCCACCCAAATTCAAAGGAACCAGAACGAACCTTCGAGTTACTTGGATTTGGAACCGAAACCTAAAACATAGGTTCCACTTCCAATTCCTAGTACCCGAGTTAATTTTAATTGTCCCCATATTTTTTTAAAAAATGACAAATAAACCCTTTAAAATTACATAGTATACCAAAATTACAATTTAATCCTCGTTCCTACTCGGGTACCTAGCCGATTCAGGCTCCGGTTCCTGATTTTTAGAATAGAAACCTACCCTATTAGGGTCGCTTCCGGGTAGGAATCGAAATTGGAACCCCAAGGACCCCTCGGTTCCTTTACTTGTTCCAACCGTTTCTTTTGCACACCCCTAATTTTATTTATATTTTATTGATGAACTATAAAACTCTAGTGGGAGATTCATCAAATTATAGATGGTAGTTTATGCTGTTAACCTTTTTCTCCGTGTAAAAAATATTAAACTTTAAGATATAACTTGAAACCTTTTTTTTTAAGTTTTTGTACATAGTATAATTAGTTAATCTAATTGTATAGAAGAAATTTTTTTAGACAATAACAAGCCATATAATTTTATACAATAATCTTCTTAGTTATTAATTATTATTATCATTATTATTGTTTTTGTCATCACAAGTCTTTAAAATATTTTTTTCTCAAAATCAATGTTAAATTAAAATTAAAATTTAAAACTACCCTAAACCGGAAAAACTAATATTAAATTGGTTTGATTTAAATTAGTGATGATATAATTTGATTCATGTTTGACCAAATCCAAATCATAAATACATTTGAAACCATAAACTGTAATAAGAGTTTTCTTTGTCTAATTTCACACTAAGAAGGAAATAAATAAATAATCCCTTCTATAGTTTCATCAAATTTTGAAAATAAAATCCTTTCGTAAAAGTAATTAATGGGTAAAGCACTAAAGCCTATAAATTAGCATGAAGGAAGATATTAAACCAGATAAAGAGTTAATTTCCTTCCCATAACTCCGATTGATTGATTTCAAACCAAAATTTTCCTTGTAAAATTTGTACACACTTATGGTTCCCATTATAAAGAAATGTTTCTCTATATCAAAATCGGAAGCAAATGCCATCAAAAATAATTATCTCAAACTGTACAAAGGGCCGCTCTAGCTGTGTAAAAACCGCCGCCTCGCGATCATCTAACATGTAAATCCAGAAGGTTTCTCTACAACTCATAAACAGTATCGGCAGAAGGAAGATTGTGGTAGCCGAACATGCAGCATCCTATATTTGTATGGGGCTTGTTTTGAATTAATCATAGTGAAGATGGTGTTTTCTCTTACGACACCTTTCAACGTACCATGTCGCATGTTTCTGTAGACCCATGCCGATCATCACTTTAAGACTTGTTAGCATGACATAGGTTATGGCAGATAAGAAAAAAATCCAGAAGAGCCTCAATGGAAGAGGATTGCAAGGCAGGCGTGCAGCGAAAACTGGAGTCAACACTCGGATGACCTGAAAGTTAAAAAGAGTAAAAAGTATGTATCTTCACCTAAAAAGAACCTCAAAACAAAAAAGGTAATTAAATAACTAGGGAAATCATTTTAACTATCCAGTCAAATAAAAAGCGAAGTGGACAGAATTCACTGTTTTGAAGTTCTTAGTTCTATCTTTCATCAAATACAGCAAAGAGTAATAGACTTTGTAGCTCTAATGCAAGCTAGAATGTGATCATCTCTTAAACTCTAGTCAACGAGCATAAAACATAGTGTTATTACTTTAAAATTGCTAGAATCCTAGAGGCAGTAAAGCAATATTATTTTGCGTTTTCGTTTTCAAAGAATGAGCTTACAATGAAATATGGGAAACTAAAATTTTGTATTTTTAATAATAAAAAATGCAATCAACATTATTTTCTAAAAATAAAAGGGAAACGNAGTGGACAGAAGTCACTGTTTTGAAGTTCTTAGTTCTATCTTTCATCAAATACAGCAAAGAGTAATAGACTTTGTAGTTCTAATGCAAGCTAGAATGTGATCATCGCTTAAACTCTAGTCAACGAGCATAAAACATAGTGTTATTACTTTAAAATTGCTAGAATCCTAGGGGCAGTAAAGCAATATTATTTTGCGTTTTTGTTTTCAAAGAACGAGCTTACAATGAAAATTGGAAACTAAAATTTTGTATTTTTAATAATAAAAAATGCAATCAACATTATTTTCTAAAAATAAAAGGGAAACATGTTCAGAAGAGTTTTTTTTTTTTTTTTTTTTTTTATGTTATATATTTTTAACAAATAGTTATTAAAATACTTTGTTGACATTCTTAAAGTTTTAGAATTCAAATTAATATCATCTGTAAAAAATTAATAAAAAAAAAAAATTCAAACTGAAAAACGCTTTCTGGTTTTAACAAATGAATCTAGCAAATGGAAAAAACAAGGAAAAGTTGTTTTTTCAGTTTTGTTATCTTTAGTCATAAATGAGACACAGGATTTTATGCTTTTCTTAGAAACAGAAAATGAAAATGCGTGAACAGGTATTTGCATTTTATAAGGGGAGAAAACACAAAATTTGATAATTAAAACATTGCCAATTGGAGACTTAGTGTTCTCCAATCGAAAGCACTCCCTTCTACAGACAGAATATATAGCTTCATGATATAAGTGTTACTTCTGACAGACATGATATGATCTATCTGACAATAACGTTACCAAAATAGCAACCAATATCACTAACTCCATGCAAATAGTATCAAGTACTCACCACACAAGCTGGTGCCAGAGGAACAAAAGTGAGGATTTTCTTCCCATGCTCGGTTTTTATATTCAAAGTCTGAGAGAAGAGAAAGTATCTTCAACATGAGCAAACAATCCAAGAGAAAAATAAAAAAGACGATAAATAAATTAAGAAAAAAAATTATAATAATATAACAAATACCTGTTTGCAGAGGTCTTCTAGGTACTCAGAGTATGCAATGGGCTTTATGCCATTGAATTTAGCAAGGAATGAATGCTTTATAATATCTATTAACATTTCACATATGTAAACCATAAGAGCATTCTGTAGAGTAAAAATAAAAACATATAAGAAAACCAAACAAGTTGTGCATAGAACCCTTTACAGCATAGAGTTCTGAAAATTTCAGCTAAACTTACAAAAATAAAACTTTTAAACCAAGGACCCTCAGCCTCCAGGATATTTTGAGCCAAAACAAATAAGAGAAACGCTGAAATGTGAAATCTCTCAATTGAATCTGTTCATGAGAAAAGCAAAACAACATTTTTAGAAGAACTGCATAAATGCATCAGTACAGAAACTATAAATGATAATGCAGAGGTTACATATCTAGAGTAAAAAAATGCTATTGATGCTATTGCAGAGCAAAAAAATGCAAACAAATGTCTAGAGTAATTATACTGCACCTGTGCAAAGTGGTATAGTTTTTTCAACTTTTTATCTTTCAATGGAGAAGGCAATTTAGCAGTAACTTGAGAAACGAACTGTCCAATCTTAAGAAGTAAAGTATATATGCAACTCTTATTCACACATATTATAGTTATAAAATGCCAGTGAGATATATTACTTAGTAGACCAAAGAACATAAAATAATTAAGGGCTCAAAAATGTTATTTTTTTAATTTGGAGCTTCTTCTCTTTCTACTAGTTCAAAAATATGTAAAAGAAGTTAATTAGTCAGTTCAGTAAGACAACAAAGTGACATTAACAACCGCCAGGATTAAACTATAAAAAACGATTGAAAGTTCAATCGAATGAATAAAAAAGAGAAACTGGAGCCCGAGCCAGCCATTTTAAAGCAGCCTAATTTTTCATCCTTTTAATCAAGGAGATTCTACAATGCAAAGTAAGTTTGTGTGATAGCATCCTCCCTTTGCTGGACAAAGCCCAACAAACAATAGGCTCAAAGAATTGGAATCTCACGTGCATCCAACACTTAAAAATGGATTATAGAGGCTAAAAGAAATTTCAGCTAACCATAAACAGAAGTTGCAACTCCTGCCATTCAATTAATTTGGGTTATAACTGGATAAGCAAGGAACTAGAATGATAGAAATGGGAATAAATGGTAACCCATATATTAACCTAAGGCAGGCAGGCAATTGTGAAGAGAGGGACAGAGAGAGACCAAACTAATAAGTGCTGCTATCAAAGTCAACAGGGAGAGAGTGCAGACATGGCCATCGGTAAGGAATTCTTCAATCCATCCTTTCTTCCACCTATTCTTCTGTTTACCATTTGTTTGGCTGTTGAGAAACTTGGAAAAGAATAATAAAATGCAAATCCAGTCTTTCTTGTTATGCATACACACAGATCCAGTTTAATTGCTCACACTCATTCTCTACTTTCAATCAATATATCATCATATACGCTCTTGTTTCTCTGGTCCAAAGTTCAATAAATTCAACACTTAAGCTTATGGTTTAGAAGGCAAAATAATCATCTGAAAGAAAAGAACAAGAACAAAACCTCAACATGATCATGCAAAGAAACATGATAATTTTAATGAAATTAAAGAAAACTGTATTTTTGTTCAACTCCAGTTCAGCATTACCCAGGAAAAGAAAAAGTTAGACCCAACTACGGATTGGGTTAGACCTAACCAGTTTTGAATTAAAATTTTACTTGGATTCTAGGGTTATTTATCACCCAACACCAGCCCAATCCCACTATCCCGATCCCACTATTTCTCACTATAAAGATTCAAGAATTGGTCAGAGTATGCAGATCCAAAAAATTAAGAAAGATTTAAAATTGTCAAAGCTATTTAATTCCTATATGCATTCAGTGATCCACAGCCGGACTGTGTCTTCAAACATTGATCAACTCAACTCTATGTCAAATAATCACATTAATATTCTCCAGCATCCATAAAACTGTGGCACATTGAGGAAAAAACTGTCCACGCAAGACATAAATCAAGATAAGTAATGCTATTCTCTAAAGTAAGCAAGCATTTATTATATACAATGGTACCAAAGGACAAAAACAGTATCATTGATGATCTAATTAGACTGTACAAGAAAGAGTGCAAAGAGGTAAACTCACCAGCATACACGAGAATTTGAATGTTTTCCTTGCTAAAGCGTTTGAACACATTGCTTTTTATCTCAGAAAAATTATTGGATACCAGTAACGCCAGCAAAGCATTATTGTGAGCAACAATACAAGTTGATAAAGTAATTGCCTGAGCTAATAAAATGAAAGAATGAAAGAGTAGAAAGTGTCAAGGAGACAAGTTGGGAAAATAAAATATGCAAGCAACGAAAAGAAAAAGATCACTGCAACAAAAAGGATATTTGAAGAAGCCGTAGCTAATGCTAGGTCATAAATGAATTTCCAAATACAGGAGCGCCTGTTTTCTTCTGAACTATCCACGAGTGTTTCTGCTGAGTAAAATAGTGTTTCCAATACATCGCTGCCAAAATTTTGGCACAGTCTGTCAAATATCTGAAAGATCAAGGAAAATTTATATTTCATTTTCAGCCAATTCATAAAAGAAAAGAAGTCAGCTAACAAGGAGATATGATAGGATGATGCCAAAGAAATCCATGCCTATTCACTATACATGATCAAGGTCTGGTCTAATGCATATAATAGTTCATTCCAAACAATGGTATTAACCCTTTACTCTTGCTAGGCTATAACCCTCCAGTTAGCATATAAAGTCATATCACTCTCTTTTCCCTTTCTTGATAATAAGAAAATAGTGCAGTTAATTTTAGTCTCTTATTTATTTTTCTTCAGCTAATATACATCTATAAAAGAAACTACATACTTTCTATTAAAATAATAAAAATAAAATAAAATAACAAGGAGAAAAAGTTGTGGACTAGGTGCCAAAAAGAGTAGAAAAACCAAGGAAGAGTTAACAATCCTATACAGACTCCACTGATTAACCATTCCTACATGAACAGAAAAACATATAAATCATTACAAACCGCCCAAAAGACATAAATAACTTCAAGTATTCATAGAAATCAATTCATCTCTCTAAGATGTTGCTACTCTTATTATCTAAATCTTCGTTTTAATAAAATTATATCGGGCAGTCTATCTTAGTTTTATTAAAATTATATCAGGCAGTCTTTCATACTTATTTGAATCCACTTGACGAAAAAGATGCCCATGATCTTTCTTTTCTTTACTGAAATAAGTTACTGAACTTTTGATCAAGAAGAAATCTTTTTCCATTAAAGTAATAAAAACTGGTAAAGATACTAATACTATATGTAAATGCAACATTTAGTCATAAAACATTAGATGAGCAATTTATCTGATTTGAACTTTTTAATTGAGTAATACTTTTTCTCCTGAACTTCAAGAAAAGTTTCAAACTAAAAGTTCATATTCCTAAGAAGCAAGAAACTGAAGTTCATTAAATATTTCTCACCTCCAAGACATTGTACACCACATAGAGTTTGATTGTTCCTTGGCCCCGAATCATGTGATAAATTAAACTGATATCTGAAACAACAAAAATAGCATTAAAAAATGCACCAAAAAGATAATAATATTCACCATCTGGTCAAACTAATCAGTGGATACCATAAGGACATATCGAAAATAGTTCATAACTTATAATACTACTAATTAGCAGACATGTCTAATACAGTAAATTAAAGTGGTCACCTTCGAGATTTAAGAAAACTATACATTCTAACAAAACATTTTTTCAACTTGGTTATGAGTTCATCACAGAATTATTGGATTAGTGGAAATTAATAGCTTATGTAATTTACGCTTTACCCTCAATTCATGTTAATTATATAAAAAAATTTCTCAGCCCTATAAACCCTGAGAAAGAAAGTTTAGACACAGGGACTCTAACCTGTAATGAGAGAAAGAGAGAGCGAGAGAGAGAGGGAAAAAAAAAAAAAAAAGGACAATGCAAACTGTTATGGTAGGCCCAACCCTAAGAATAAGAATTAGTGGTGCGGCTAATAAGAAAAATAATAACACACACGAAGCTTCAATAATTTGCATGGTTCGGCTTTTAGTCTATGTCCATGGGCGAAGTTTAAAGAAGAATTTTACTAACAAATATGGAGACAACTCTCAAACAAAACCCCGAACAATGTTTTCTCACTCTCTCAAATATTCTCTTCTTCTCTTACCCAAGCTTTGCACCTCTTGTGCTTGAATTGCTTGGGATAATGTGTGGGATTATTTTGCACTTATAGTGCACTTATATTTATAGTGAAGGAGAGGCCATGGCTTTTCCAGATTTATGGTACAAAATCTGGTAGAGTGACTGTTAGAATAGAAAAATCAATAAGATCTTTATTTGGGAAATGGCTGTGTAGATTTCCTTCAGAAAGAAATTCTCTTCAGCATGAGGTAAGTATACACAGAATTCATAAATTTCTCAATTTTAAGGAACTTCTCTTTTCTTTATTCGAAGGAATTGAGCAGCGTACTATCCTTAAAATTTCTGAATTTGTCTTGTTGGAATGATATATATAGAGTAATTATCAATTCTTTATTTTGGTTTCATTTATCGACTGTTCATTACATTTTTGTATTATATTTTATTTTTAGGAAAAAATTGCGCCAAAAAAAAAATGAAAATTAGAGACGTGGTAAAAGGCACCATTTGTTGTATCATGATTGTCTACCATTCTCTCTAACCCCCGCAGAACAGGAAGCAAAATGCCAGGAGCCAAGCCCCACAACCTCTGAATCACCATTGGACCTACAGCATATCCCAACTCAACACCAACCAAGATCTAAACCCAAACCTAATAACAAACCCACTGCCTTCAAGAGACCCATAAATCCCCAAAAACCATCATATCATGATTGCCAAAAATAATGAACAAACAAAGCACCCACCTTTCCTAAAACAAAACCCTTCCTCCTGCACTGGCTAAACATTCACCAATGACTACCAAACTCAACCATATCGTTTTTGGTTGAATTCTAGTGTTGCTATCACTAGTGGTGGATGCAACCATATAAAATGCTACTAATGAAATAACCATAAACAAGAAACAAACAAAAATAAAGAGGAACGAAAAAAGTCATTAGACTATATTATTCTTACATCTTGTTTTCATTAATTGTTTCCTTTGGTGCTTGCTTTACGAAGCACCCAGTAAATTTAACCTTCAGTAAAGCTGACAAAAGATGGGGAAGAAAGTCATACAAGCCTCAAGGTACAGGGTTCAGTTCTAAGTTGTTAAATTAAAGGCTGGTTGGCAATACTTCAAGGGTGGTCAATATAATTTAATCGTTCTAAAATCACAAATAAGAAAGTGCAATAATCTTACTAACCTGTTCGCTCCAAAGGGTGACCCAAAAGCCAGCACAGCAAAGCAAGAGAAATCACAGAGCACAGCGTAGAAGGACTACTAAACTGCCTGCCACAAGCATGGTTAGGTTACTGCAACTATTTATCATACCATGACTCTAACATGTAAAAAGAAAGAGGTAGAGTTCAATTGTTTAGCCAACTGACAAACATAACCTAAAACTCAAAACACCTATAGAAAGGGAAGAAAAGAAAAAAAAACATCTTCCAGCAATAAAAGTAGTAGTGACATTTCTTGGATTCATATCAGATGAAACAACAGAGTTTCCTCCTCATATACCGAATCAGTCCCTGAACCCTAACACTCAAAACACCTATAGAAAAGGGAGAAAAGAAAAAAAAAATCTTCCAGCAATAAAAGTAGTAGTGACTATTTCTTGGATTCATATCAGATGAAAAAACAGAGTTTCCTCCTCATATTACCAAAACTTCCCTGAAAGTGAAGGAAACGCACTTTCTTAGTCCCCTATTTCATATGTTGAAGCTGAAAATTGATGATTTATATGTTGAAGCTGATCACAGACACATTTTTACACTAAAACCAAATTGACCACACATCTAACCTGCCAATAATTCCACCAAGCTCAGTATCTAGGAATGGTGTAGTGAGACCATAAGCAAGAGTCACTACATAATATCTTAAGCTATTTTATCCAAAGAAATTGTGGATTTGTGAGTTCCAAACATTGGGTTGGATTGCGGTTAACATGCAGAAACAATTCATTATGTAATATGCCAAATTAAAATTACACAATTATTATCCACCTTCTAACCATCAAATTCCAAAAACTATAAAATGCACAACACTTCTTCCATATCTTTACAGCTCAGATCATCAAATCAGTCTGACACAGCAGAACGGAGAACCAAACCTCACAAACTTCGGTTTATCAAAATAAAAATTATAAGAACGGGTGATTTGCAATCTCTCCCTTGAGGTTTGGGGGAGGCCTTCTAATAATTCAAAAAAAAAATTTTTAAAAAAATTTTAACTCCCACACCTCAGGTAGATTAGGCAAATTAACTTCTTCTAACAAATGATTTTTTTGTGTAAAATTACATCAATGCCTTATTGAGGACTCTTTTAAGTGGAGCACTCCTTATAATTCAAAAACCTTTGGGTGTAACGTCAGGGAAGGTCATTGGATTACCCAAAAACACACATGCTCTCCCGATAAATTTGGATACACAATTAGGCAGATACCACAAACTAAAAATTTTGTCTTGAAGAAACGTTTCTGTGTCTTGAGTCATCATTTATCAGTTTTTACAATGATAGTGTGAAAAAGGATTTTCACATTCAACCAGAACAAGACTTTAAATGTATGTATGATACACCATTGATAAGTCCTTAAAATTTTGAATGAGAGAAATAGGATATTCAAGCTTATTTCAAAAAGACTGAACAAAGTAACAAACCTTTTACATAGAAGCCTGTAAAGAGTCATCAGAATCCTTGTTGGCATGATGGTTAACAACGACAGAAATGAATCCAAGCAGACAAAGAAGCCAACATCAATAATCTGAAAAAAAAAAAAAAAGGGCTTAAGAAATCTCAACCATAACGATATAAGTACCCTTGCCTAAATCAGTGTTTTAACTATTTAATCACTAAAATGCCTTAATTCACGCTGTCATTTCAGTGTCAAACTTCAAAAGTTCCAGAATGTTTCTAGGACAAAAGAGAATAATAGCCTATGCAAACTAATCAGTGCACCATTTCAGAAAATTGGTAGAACTCCTAATTTCAAGTACCAAAAGTTCTGTACATGTAATGAAACAGAAAGTAAACCAAAATAAGAGATGAATGATTTAATCATGAAACATAAAGTGAATAGTTATACATCACTTCCTATGAGATTATTCACTTTTTGTTTGAGTATAAAAGGAAAAACCAAAGTTACCAGCTCACATCTCCATGGCAAGCGGAAAATGGTATCATATACTCTCTGCCGTTCTTTCTCATCACCAATTGTTGTTGTGCTCCGCAATGAATTTCCACTATACATTGCATCCATAAAGTACTTCCATGGTGACTGCTCTATCGGATAGGTACCTAACAGAGACAAATTGCAAAAAATCAAAGGGGAAGTAGAATAGATAAATGCTTGATAATAGTCTGTCATAACAACAATCTGTTGCCACCACAACCATTAGTAGCATTGAATTAATTACTTTTTTAAAACATTAAACATGCATCCAGAAACTATAATTTGTGAAAACTGACCATTAAAATGTGAAACAACAGCTTTAGCCTTGTAATTTACTTTAATTTAAAAAATACACATTTAAACACAATCAAGCTCCTTGCAATTAATTCAGCTTACATAAATGAATCTTATGTTTCATTGCACCTAAAGCTATCACAAGTTTAAGATTTCTCTACCAAACAGAAAGGTCAATGTTTCCTCCTATCTATTTCATATCTCAATATTTTGTCTCATGCAGCTAATTCTTACTGGCAACTCCTCAGTCTTTCCTAATCTCCAATATAGCTACAACGATCACTTGTTCCACCTACCTCTAAATAACACAAACATTTTCATTCTGGTAGCCATCTCAGTCATCAATCCCAGCATCATCAGCAAATGATACTTATATCAACAACCATCTTGACGAGAAAATCAACACTAGTATAGTGCACAACCTTAAACGACAGTTGTAGACCCAGAAAACCCTCGATCACCTATAATTCAATTCATTAACATTCAAATTGCTGAATTTTCTATTGATATCCGAACCAAAAAATTAGCTTCATTCAATAGTGTTACATTATGAACTTCTCTTGTACTACAATTAACTCGATCAAATATTATCAAATACCAAATCAAATACAAAACACAACGACAATAAAAGAAGGCTCTTAATTTTCTCACATTGAAGATCATCCGCCATGAGTCGCTTCCAATCCAGCGACTCCACCGTCTCCAACTTCGTGAGAACACCACTTCCACTACCACCACTACTACTCCCATTAGGCAACGCCTCACTCCGCCACTGTTGCTTCTCCGATGGACTCTCCTCCACCACCAAGTCATCACTACCATTCACATTCCTCTGCCTCAAACTATTCCCACTGTCACTACTCGCCGCCACCACTGTACACACACTCCCGCCGTAACTAATCTGGCAATTCAAATCGCTTCTGCTCTCAAAAACAATCCCACTTCCAATTCTCTCATCCGAATCCAACACCGGATGTTCCGGGATCGCAGCGAAACCGGGGGACGCCGGTTTCTTCTTCTTGTGCCTTTTCTTCCTCCGGCTTTTCGGAGAAGGCGAGATTTCGGAATCGGATTTGGTCTGGTTGTGTGAGGGATCGGGGGTGGAGCGAAAGAGGGGAAGCGAATCATCTTCTTTATTATTATCAAAGGGGGAGTTATTATTGATGTTGCTGAGAATATCGAAAGAGAGTTTTCTATCAGAAGATCTCAACCCCATTGAATTCCTAGGGAAGGAAAGAAAGAAGGAAGAAGAAAGTGATGGAATGTTTTTAATTTGGAATTTTGGAGAATTGAACTTATTGTTACATATGGTTAGTTTGTTTTGGTTATGTAACTTAGACTTTACTTGTTATAAACTTTATCATATGATGGTGGGTTACTGGTTTTGCGCACTGAGAGTAACGGAGTTGGACAAATCATTTTATGACACGTGTTGAAGATTTGAATTTTTAAAGGATATCTGGGTTAGTCTAGTCCTGAACAAGGAAAGTAGGAAACAATTTTTAGTCCATTAGGTTTGAAGTCTTACATTTGCCCAAATAGTTTTAAAAATATAACACTTGTATTCCTAGATTTGTCTTTGTAGAAGGTAGATTGATTCACAAAAAAACCTTGATTTGCTTGGTGTAGTATTTGACACTTTCATTTAGATAGTTTTGTTGGTTTGGTGGAAGAATGACAAAAGATTATTTGAAAGAAGTACTTATACAATATTATGATCCAATTAATTTAGGGGTGAGCGGATCCGAGTATCCTAGTCTATAAGCAAGAACCAGAACTGGAATCATATAGTACCGTTTCTTGAGATTTAGGAACTAAAACCTACCTACAGAGTATTGGTTCCTACCCTAGAGCCTACCCTTTCGGGTAGGTTCTGGTTCCAAGATATTTTGTTCTGTTCAAAAAAATTTCTCTCATCCTTGTCCTTCGTCGGTGTTGTCGCCGACCATTTTCACTGCTTTTCAATGACTTTTGCATCCAAAACTGAAGAAATAACCACCTGAGAGTCGATTCACCTCTGTCCCAAACCCGTTCTCGTTTGTCTGGCTTGATTTTGCTGCCCTCTTTTTGTAAGTAAGTGAATAGATTCACGCAGCGGAAAACAACAATGAAAATCTTAATATTTAAAATTGAATTTGTCATTACTCTAAAACCCAAAGATTCGGGCAACAATTATAACGTTTTGCATGTTAAAACTAGTGTAAACTAACAAATATGTATAAATCACTATAAATCCATACAAGGATTCGGAATACATTACCAACGTTTGGAGGCTCCTTCAATATCTCTAATTTGATCTCGCTCCCGATTCAAAATAGAATCGCACTCACGTCGTCCGCACGAAACCATAAGGGATTTGCTAGATCCACTTGATGGCTTCAATAATCCAAGAAGAGAAAAAGATTTTCTCTCCACCAAGTCAAAAATGTGAGAGAGAGGAAAGTAGGTGGCTAGGTTTTTTTAATGAATGAATGTTATGTGTTTTTAATTTTAAGTTGCACTTATATAGTGCAACAATTAAAAACCCTATTCCATTTAGGAATAGTCATGGGCTCCAACCCTAATCCACCCTTACAACCAAACACCCAATTAATGGTATTTTAAATTTAATTAATTATTATTATAATTAAAATCAATTAATATATAAAAATATATTAACATTTAATTCAATGTTTTAAAACCCGGCCCAGCCCGGCCTGTTTAACCTGTTCAACCGGGACCCGGAAGCTTCAACGGGCTAGGTTTATATTTTTCTTATTCACCCAAAACCCTAGGATTTGGGAGGATGATCGGCGAACAATCGACGGAGAGGATATTGGGGCTTTTGAAGAGAAAGTGCCGGTGAATCCAATGGTGGTGACGAATTTGATTTCCGGTGAGTAAATCAACTGGAAATCAAACAAAACTAGAAGCGGCAACAACTGGCTTTTGCTGGCGATTGGCGAGGCTAACGAGGGTGGGGTGAGGTGGGTTTTAGTCGGGAGGAAGAGGGGAGTAATTTTTGGGTGATGGGGAGGGTTGTGGACGCCGACGTCGGTGAGATCTGGCCAAAATCAAACATATTTCAACTAGATCTTGGGTATATTTTAAGGGGAATGGACTTAAGGGATGATTGGGGTTACATTTGGGGTGTCACTGCAGCCAACCAATTGTCGGGTGATTTTTATTTAGGGTGTGTTTGCTAAATTTTAAACCAATAGGGACTTAATAAATTTTTAGGGGTGTATTTGTTGAATTTTAGAAGTTTTGGTCAACTGGTTTGACCGGTGGTCAAACCAGTTAAACCGGTCAACCTAAGACCCGACAACTTTGCCTGGTTTCACCCCGGGTTGGGTTTTAAAACATTGATTTAATTAACAATAATAATCCATTTAAATATATGCGGCTATGCGCACATATATTTAAATATAATCTCACTAATTTTAATTTTAATATTAAAATTAAATACAAGCAACAACCTCAACAAGACAACAAATTTAATTGTACTGTGAGATTACCAAAATACCCTTTCGTCCTAAAAGATGAAAAATACCCCTTTCACAAAAACCATTTTTAAATTATCTTCTAAGTGTGTGACTCGTAGGCTCCTTATCATATCAACACTGAATAGTATCGCGATTAACACCAATTAATTATCTCACTACACACAAACCAAGATTGGCCCCTAGCAAGGCATCATAGCCACCTGATAGATTCGGATTCAGTGAAATCGCTACCTGTCAATGATATGATTACCGTGCAATCAAATCATTTCATCATCTATTATCTCATCAAGGCTAAGGTACAAAAATAGTGTCAACCTCAGTTATCTTCAATGTCTTTGTATTTAGTTACTGGACTAATGACCGTAATAATAAATTGGATTGAGTAACAACTCAATCCTACTGTGGCCACAACTTTAGTGTCATTGTCATTCACTGAATTGCGCCGTGAGATCACTTTTGCCGTACCCAAGAGTGATAAATCCTTTGTCGATCCATCATCGTCTTGATACACTCCTTAATGCAACCAATCACTGCCGTATTGATAGCTTTGAATAGAACTACGTTAAGCTAATGTCAAACTACACCAATCAATACACAAGGCATTCCGGTGATCTCAAGTCTAAGGATCACATGCACCACCATTTGTTAGAGGATTTATTCCATATACATTGTGGTTACCATCTATATGGAATCCTCTGGTGGATCAGTCCAGTGAACTTGCCTACAGCAAGCACTCATGTGTCGTACCAGGTTGTCGGCAAACAGCCTTAACAAGTGAGATCAGTCACTGCCTTTCGACAAAGTTGTTCAACACTATAATAGCCTTACCTTATTATCTGTGTCCTTGGTCATAATAATACCGAGGCTACGAACATTTCTAGAATGGCCACCATATGTGATCATAGGGTTCTCACTATCAAGATTTGAAATACTTGATACCCTCGTCACGGTTCTACTATCCTAAAGACATATATCAATACATACAACTTTGATTTACATGATATAGCAGAAAACTGTCTTTTATTGATTGATAAACATTATTACAAAGAGTCAATTCCACAATAATTGATTGGCTCTAGGGCACATACTCCAACACTTTTTTGCCAAATTTTGGTCTTCTTCATGTTGCACGACTCCCCGCTTGTTGTTGCTCCTTTCCATCAACTGCCCACACCTCCATTGAAGTTTCCTTGCTACACTGAACCCTCGATTGACAACTTATAGCAGACAGAGAAACTTAGGATTTTAAGATTGAGTGTGCACTCGATCGCAACTTCGTGGCCACTCCCAATTGTGATTTATGCCTGCTCCACCTTCCCACAACCCATTCGACGGAAAGAACCAACTCACCTGCTTCATCGTACCGCCCAGTATGATCTCAGCCTTCGCGTGACACTTCCTCTAATTGTGCAAACCAACTCAACCATACTGTGAGTGAAGAGAGAGCAACTCGAGTGGGTCTGGTTTTTTTATTTTGTTTTATTTTTTCTCGATACCAGTTCGCGAGTCAGTTTTGGTTCTAATTCCTTAAAGTGGTGGAATCGGAACCTATCTGCACACTACGAATTCCTTAAATTTGGGAACTGAAACCTACCCTAGACCCAAAAAATATGGTAAGAATCGGAATTGCAATGCCAGGTACCCTGCGGTTCCAAGTTTACCCTATTTTTTAGCTTACCCCTAAGTGTATTTATATCAACTTTACACTCTTTTTCTCTTAAATATATCCTTTCAATTAGTATGATAGTCCTTAGTAAATTAAAACTTACATGATACATATGTATTGGCTCGTGGCATCAGAGACTTTCTCAACAAAAGAAGAAAGTGTAATAAAACTTTGACAAATTATTAATTAAGGTGCAAAAAAGGTTCAAATCCTTCGAAAAAGTCACATTTACGGGTTAGTGACAGTAATTATGAATCCGGGTCAACATTAAGTAGACTTGAGTTGGACTACGTAATTACTAGTTTAATGGGAAAGAAGGCATAAGAGAGTTGTAAATTTTATAGGATTTGTTGTGCCTAAAAAGTCATGTTGATGTCAACTCAACAAGTGCCTAAAAGACAAAGTGTACTAGCTGCCAAGCCCATACCGCCTCAAAGATATTTATACCAACCCTATCTCATTTTAAGAGATGGACAAATGAGAGCTCTCCATGTGTCAAGGCAACCTGCAAACCACTCATTACATTGACCTCAAATGTGTATAAATGGACACCTCTCTTCATGAAAAAGGGGGGTTTTGGGCAGATAAGAGCTGAGCATAGATTTGAGCTTCATTTCATTATTTTTTCTCTGTAAATAAAGTTTTTCTCCATTCTTTGTATGTCTTACAGACAATATCATAGAAATAGTTAGAGAATAATACAACCACAGTGGACGTAGGATTCGCTTTTGAGCATCCGAACCACTTTAAAAACTGTCTTTTATTTCCTCTCTTGCTACATACTTTCATATCACGTGTAACTTCTAGGCCCGCTTAGAATTTTGTATGTGTGAGGCGTTGGTTTCAAAATCAAGCATCAACAGTTTGGTGCTAGAAGGAGGGAGTGATTCACATCAGCTCACCATGTTTTTCCAGCAAGTCTTGAAATCTTCACGTCATTTTATGTGGAAATATAACTAGGATAAATTCTGAATTTGGAAAAGTGATAAACATAAGAGTTATAGCCCTTCGAGTTAGCTTTCTGGTGGTATAAAAATCATCCAAATCTGAGATATACAGCTCAAGTTATCACCAAAATACTGAAGCTTGTTCTGCATCAGAGTTCTTGGATCACATGGCCAGATCGCAGATCGCACACATCAAAGCTCTCAGATCGTGTGGCCAGATTGCAAATCACACGC